CATCCCGCTTGGTAGATATGCTTCCCATTATATATAATGTTGTTTGCAGATAATTATTTTAAAAATTATTGATAATAATACAAAATATAACAAGTTCTACGTAATTATCATTTAATTAAGGACAATTAGTATTTTTTCAAACTAAATAAGATACGTCTGGGTTTAAAGGTCCTTTAATTATTTTATGAGTATTATAAATTTATAATAACTAAATAAAAGGTAAGAATGATATTCTACGTGATAGAAAATTAAGAATAGACAATGAGAAAGCTTATCGCATTCCATCCAAATGTAAAAAAAGTTACAAAATTAATTAATGTCCTATATCAATTGGAACTGACGAATGATAAATGTAAAACATACTTAAGGTGCATATTTATAAAGAATATACTTATTATTGTGTATTAAAATCGGTATGTTAGTCTTAATTTTTTAGTTAATGATTTAATTACTTTCTATTATTTAACTTTTCGATTTGAAATACTTCATATTTTTTATTCGTTACCCTTTTTATATGTAATATATTTCATCATTTCTTTTCAATGATGTTTGATTTGACCAAAGCATTGTAATAAAATAACAATAATAAAATTATTTATATCAATATAAAATAATAAAGTATATATCTATTATACCAATTTAAAATAATAAATGGACCTAAAAGTATCTTATAAAATAAATCATAGATCTATGAAAACTCATTTTTATTAAGTATAAATAACAATAGATAAACTTGTGGTATGTTTTCTAACATAGATTTGAAATATTTATAATAAGAAAACGTACAACTATTACCAACACTAACTATGAGATGTATGTTAAACTATTATTCAATTACCGCTTGAAAGTGAACACCATAATGGTTGTAAAATATATTTTTTGTGAATATGAAAATGAGTTAGTTACTTAGTATGTTATCAAACATTGAAAAAAAATCCAAAAATTTTTAATCTTATAAACAATATAAAAGTAAACTTTTATCAAATATATTATTACTATAAAACACGTACAATAAAAAAAAATACAATGCATATAAAGTGCTCTAATCTTTCAACATAAAAAAATGTTATTTGTGAATAAAATAAAAGCAAATATAATAATAGTCATGCAATGGGGAAAAGAAAAAGTTCTAATTTTCTTAGAGAAGTATGAATAACAATATCAAATTCAGGAAACAAAAGTCTTTTAAAATTACTACTTTTTTGTTGTTGTCAGCATTTAAGTATATGTTCTTTGCTAGAACGTGGTTCTCATAAATAAAATTCACAAGATGACTAAAAGTATCATTATAATATAATTCAAATTCTCCTAATCTCAAATGTTTTGATAAATAATAAAGTCAAATATTGTTTTGTTTTGTTATTGTTGAAGAATCAAGAAAGGATCTTTATCTTGAATTTCGAAGCATTATGTATAATGCAAAAAGTTGGACAATAATTGTATTAAATAATATATGTAAATCCGAATGAATGTGAATGGTTTATGATAAACAACTCGAAAATTATTGCAATACCTAAAATGTTCAATGATTTACAAACAATAGGTTATGTAGTTCGTCTATCTTCCAAATAAATAACATTGAAAAGGAAATGTCTGATTCTGGTCAAAATATTTTTGAATGTTTAAATATGTTTTCACTTTTTGATAGGCATATTTACAACCTCAATTGTGTATTGTGCGCCATCATATGCACAATTATTTTAAAGTACATACTTTCATGTAATAAGCGATGATTTCAAAAATTAATTTAGCGTCTTGGGTGAAGTAAATCAAGATTTTGGAAAGTCAATTTTTATTTAGAGATGAAATTATTTCACACCCCATGGGAATGTAACATTTTGTCTATGTGGAGAGAGAGTAAGATAGTAGTTTATACAATGATTAAAAAAAATCACACGGTTTTGGTTATTTCACATAGATGTTTATGAACTGATAGTAGAAATACCTTATAATGATCATACAATTATGAAGTTTGACTATATGTTTGGCTAAAATATTTGTAAGTATTGAATAAAGTAGACGTTTCGCCAAATTAATTAAAAAGAATTTTGCAATATTATTGATGTATTTAGCTCCAACGAGTATGAATGTTTCTTATGAGAACGTCAAAATCAAAATGAAAGAAAACCACTCTTGAATCTAACATAAATAAATAAAAGAAAACATGCACCTATGATATACATTAGATCCATATTTAATTATTTAATGTTTTTTTATTAGGGACTCATTTTTCATATATTTTTGTTAGGGTTGTAACATGTTATTTAAATCTTTTTATGTTAGGACATCATTATGTTATTTTTGACAAAAAATACGTTCTACATTTCATTTTGTTCCTGCAATGATCACCACGTGCATCGCACGTGCACTTTACTAGTTATTTTAAAAGAATGACTCATCAAACCTAGTAATTTCAAATCTACTATTTATCCCACCTTGACGATCACACTATCGCGAGTATAAATCTTCATTTATATTCATCACAACAGCAAGCCAACACCATCAATGCAAATTAGACAATGAATTTATAATTCTTTCCACAAATACATTCAAGGAGTTTAAAAGCAAATTTGAATTTCAAAATGATTCGAATTCAAGGAGGTTCAAATCCCTCAATCCAAACATAGACTTAATATTAAATGACAAACATTTTCCATATGCATCTTAAATCAAACTACAAAGCCTCCACTGCTCCAATATTCTTGTTTAAGGAAAACAGTAATAGAGAATAAAAGTGAAAACATGAAACTATTCACTCTTTTAAATGCAAAAGCTATACGAAGATAATGATCATTTCCATTACTTTTTTTTTAGAATATTTCTATTAATAAGAATCATACACGAGCATTTGCTTCAACATTTCACTTAAAAGCTAACTAAACCACATAAATATGTGAACACTTAACCAGTATAGAATATACGAACGAAAATTACCTCGGTCGATATTCTATCAGCAATTTGTGTCGCACGCAATCTGACCTCAGCATTCAAAATCGACATAAAAAATAAAAATCAAAATCGAACATCCAACACAAGCATTCATTCGAAAACATAAAAAACATAGCTCGACATTTATGGAGGAGAACAAACACTTCATTCAAAATATTCAAACACAAAATGTCATAAGCCGAACCGGCGCCTACACACGAGTTGTCCAAATAATTAAAACGCAAAAAAATAACGCAGTTTTCAGAGCAAAAATACCCAAAGATATTTGTTTAAGACCACACTCGGTCGTCAAAATAAGGCACGCAAGCCCAAATAACAAAGTTACGAGCCCAAATAACTCGCTCGGTAGTCTCTTGCTTTGAAAATATATAACAATGGGATCTTAGTAGTTGGGATAAAAATAATGATATAAGCTCAATTCGTCTACAATTGATTGTATATTAAAATAAGTGTTTCGAAATTTTTAATAAATGATACTTTTATTTTACTTTTATATATTTTAAAGTAATTATTGTAAATATTTTACTATTTATTTAGATATATAATCAACGGTAGATTTTTCAATATCAATTAGTGTGTTGAAAAAACATGAAAGCAACCGGTTTTGGATATAAGCTAATGATCGATAAATTCAAAGCAAGTAAACGTGAACCTTTCAGATGAACTTTTCTGAGCGCGTAAGCATCAAAATATTTGTTAAGAAGAAGAAGAAGAAGAAGAAGAAGAAGCGTTTCTTAATTGATATAATTTTATTGACGGATTATTGGATAGACTGGTAATCGAGTTAAGTGTGCGTGGAATAAGAAAAGATTGAAGATAGTAGACATATATATATATATATATATATAGTAGTAATAATTAATTGAAGTGCGCGACTTCTTCATAATAATACATGAATATGTCTTAAAAGCAATAAGCATCGTTGGCTGATATCATCAGTTGGCAGTGATAGTGATACTCATTCCATTCTGGCAATGCTTTGGATGTCCGTATGTGAAGTAATGGTTCCCACCACATTTACCATCACCATCATCATCATCATCACCAAGGCCGTGGCGGCAACCGCAACACCACCTCTTCTTTCCCTACCCATCTATTAATTAATAATAATTTCTTATTATGATATCCTTATTGTGTTTTTGGCATGAATGATGAATGAAATTGCAAATTAATTATAGGCGACTGATGAGACCATGAGGATTTTGTTTCTTTTCTCTTGCTGCCTTTAGGTGGGCGTGGGCCCCACCTAATGTTGAAAATTCCATCAACTGATGGGTTTGAGAAAGTCCGAAAAAGAATCTTAAAAGTCCAAGATCTTGTAGAATTATTTGACTCCAGTTGGTAATGAGTTTTATGGATTTGACCGTCGAAAAGAATTTATTTTGGAAGTTTGTGTATTTTGTCATGCTTGTATTACTTTTCTTATTCAATATATAATGCTCTCTGAATAATGCTACATTCTCAACTTAATATACAACGAGGTTTTACTTGTGTTGTCAACCTAGTTGTACACTAGGTTGGTAATGTAGCATTTTTCTACAACTTTATACCTTTCAGGTATACAATATGTGATGTAATTGAAAATCAAACCAAC